AAAAAAAAAAAAAAAAAAAAGAAAAAAGAAAAAAATTTAAGAAGAATCCCTGAATTGGGGAAGGCTATAAAAATTAGTGTGAGACCACTCCCTCCTCCTCTGTCCCCTGGGTTTATACAGCAAAGAAAGAGTAATAGAATGAGTGGCTGAAAACCACAGATGGAGAGGTAGGAAGGCGTCTTAGTCCGAGTCCTACAAGGTAGACAGTGGAGGGACTCCCACACTTGTTTCTGAGCACAACATTCTCCTCTGAAACACCAACACGGCGAACCCACGAAAACCACTGAGGAGCTGTCCTAAGAGATGTCGCCCAGTCCTTCCCATGAGTAGGCGCCTTTCATTCTTTGGAACTGCATGAGCCTCAACTCTTGCCATTGCCTCCAGCAAGGGAGGCAGGAATTCACGTCCCCCCGAATCATTTTTAGTATAGTCACAAAAGTGGGCAACAAACGCCACGAATTCATCACCCTCCCAAAAAGAGTGTCCCCATGAGCAGCCAAGAAATTGGTTTTTAAGACCATGCAGAGGTGCCTGATTCATGAGATGTCTTAAAGTGAGCAGTCCTCAGTGGGAGGCTCTGAATCCCAGCAACCACGCACTTGGCAGGTTTTCAATGGCCTGGAGTCGAGAGAGCTCACACATAGATGAACATACGTGCACGTTGCATGTTATTTCTCAAAAACTGCTAGTCACTGCAAGTCATCTTGGGCTCCGCCCCTTCCTGCAATCAAAGCCGTCCACAGGCTACAAAGGATTTCCCTTATAAGGTAAAAGAGGCTTGCTAGATACATGTGGCAAAGCAACAGGAAGATGTCGGTTAATCACACAAAAATCTAAGTGAAACCAGCTGTCGGGAGCAGGCCCAGAAGTCCCAGAAGTCCGCCCCAGGCAGGCTCCCGGCTCCCCCTGAGAAGACTGAGTTTTCGCCTTGGTCTCAGTCCCTTTGGGCTCTCCCTCTCCCGGCCAGGGGAGGATGCTCTGTCCAGTGAACTTTTTAAGAAGTCCTAAACTTTCCAAATGCATCTTCCCTCCCAACTGGACGGAAATGCTGCTCCTAGTCTGGGTCGTGGCCGAGGGCCATTTTGGAGCAGAAGGGATTGTCCTCCAGCGAGATGACTTGGGATGAGATCAGAGGGAGAGTTATTTAGGTTACGTCTGCTGCCCGAGACTCCTGCGGGTTTTCTACGGCCTCTTCAGGCTGGAGCATCGGTACAAGATGAAACAGGCCACCCAGGCCAACGCCGGAGGCGTCCTGGGAGGACAGAGCAGCCCCGGGCTTTTCCCAGACCTGTTAGGAAAACAGGGCCACGCCCTGGGGCCACTCCCGGGTCCCCACCCTGGTGCCAACGCGGCTCTCAGGGCCCCGGGCTCGACCCCTGCCTCCACCAACTCACACGCACAACTCTGGCTTCTGAGTCTGCACACCCGGGTCCCTCATCCCTCCACACGTGTTCGTTCCAGAAGACCCTACTCGGCCGACGTTTTGAAGTCTCCCGGGTCTGCTCTCGCAGCAGCACGGAAAGCCCCCACCACGCGAGTCACACTCCACCTCCGTGTGTGTCCCCCTTCAGCTGTGGCCTCCCCAGGGGTCAGGGAGGGAAGAAGAACCCAAGCCCAGCGCTGACTCTGTGCCGGGCTCCGTGCGGGAGGCTTTCCGCGGGGCCCCTCCCAGCTGCTCTGGGGGTTCGCGTCGCGAGCACCCTCTGTACAGACGGGGGAGCGGCTCTCCGAGGTTAAGCACCCAGCCAGCCGGCGGCTGAGCGGGGTGAGATGGGATTCGAACCAGGTCTGCCCCCAGCCTCCGCGCGCCGCCACCATCGGTGCCGAGAGGCAGAGAGGGAATAAAAGGGAGGGGGGCCCAG